AAACATCCTGTATACATTGTAAAAAATTAGGCATTTGAATATATGTACTTTAACGCATATCACAGTATATAACAGTTCTAACCTAACGTTTTTAATATTTTTGTGTAAATTTACAAAGTACGTATGTTGTGAATTTACAATAAATTAATTTAAATCATTTGATTCCATATTTTCATATTTGATGTACAAAAAATATAATTTTACTGTAAAAATGCAATCGTGTACAAGTGTCTTTGCAAGATTACTTCTAACTTGAATATAATTTTATATCGGAGCATATTTCACAATAATCACCCACAGGAATGTAATTTTACTATAAAAATGCAATTGTCTGAGTTAAGTTATAGTTTCAGCTGTATTGAGATAAAGTGTAGGTACACGCCATTTTAGCTCGAAAGCAATGAGTGGGTCAGTGACGATACATCAATAGAACGTTACAACGATACAAGGAAGCGCAGAGATTGAGAAAACTTCTACAACAGACACCATTGGTTACACCACACATATGACACACGTCTATATCCTTTAAATATTACAAAACGCACTACGCCTAGTTCTTATTGCATCGATAAGTGCATTGAGTAATTATCCTCGACTTAAACTAGATATTTTTTCACGATGTGAGACCGTTCGATTTTTAGACCGAGCAGAGCCGCGGTACCTAATCGCGTTTGGATCTTGATCTCGATTCTGGTTATGCTAATGTCGCTTTATCTTCAAGCCGTTTTGTTCTTAGGTGTTCCTCGAGATTCCAGCCGATTCTGGTACCGGTCCCGAAGATGAAGCGATAGAATTACTCCCAGTGACGGCGCGTATGGGTTTTATTGCGAAATCGTAGCAAAAATTCAGCGGCGGCGCGTTAGAAATAAAAGACGTGTACAGAAATTCATCAATTCGCCACCCAACCCGGAAATCGGGGACTGGTGCGGGAGAGGGGGCGGCATATTATTACCGCGCGTCGAGGATAATATCCGGTTTGCATGCCGATGATTTTTTTGTCCATTTCTCACGATGCATCCATAAATTACCCGTGTGGTTCCGAGCTGCGTTTCATCTTGCTCCTTCCGCGCGATTTGGATTCAGATGTGGTAGGCGCGCGGTCGTTACCTATTTTCGTAAGTCAGTCACGCCGGCCGTCGACTGAAATTAAATATATAAATATAAACGTAACAAATATGGCCATAAAGTCTTCCTCCGTACTGACCTAGGTACCGTAGAGGCCGCTCCTAGATTCGTAGAGCAGCCCCAGAATACCAATTGGCTAGACATTTACCGAGAACAATGGTCGTCGGGATTTTTGGGTAAAAAGTAGTTTCTGTGTCACAGGGGTACTTTGCTATGGAGATGCTAATATAATTTTTGCATCAGGATTACATGAAATAGATCGATTGAACCTGAAGATATATTTTTTTAATGTGGCACATGACCAATACAAATAAATAGCCAAGTGAAATTCATTGACGGTATGGGGATACTTTGTTTCACCCTGATTTTTTGTATACTTCATATTTTATTACTTGTACGTGTATCAATGTATCAGATAATTTGATTCTAATTTTTTTTCCTTGATATTTTTGGTACGACTAATATTAAACGAGAAAATTGGAACATATTCATCAGACACTGTTAATTAATATTACTGAGTATTTGTAGGTATATTGTATGTGTTCGAACAAATGACAATGAAGGAAATATCGAATAATGTTGAGGAAAATCCTAGTTTCTAGAAGAAAAAAATCTCAACTCCAACAAAGTAATACATCAGTCTGTATTGTGGCGAGTGTATCATAATCAAAAAGTACAAGTGTTGCTGCCTCAAGACTCTCCTAGAAGTGATGCGTTTTGCAGAAGAATGTTGAAAATGTTAAACAGAAATTACTTCTAATCTTGTATTGTTTACCGATGAAGCAACTTTTTTACAAAAAAATGGTGTTTTTATTTCTTCAGTCTTCATCAGCAGCACACTCTTAACTCATATCGTGCCTCGTCGTCTATACTGTAAATCACTCATAAATGGTTAATTAGTATATAGTATTGAAATTAATTCATTTCGCGGGGCCTCCTCCTGTCCTGGCTGAGATCCGCCAGCTAAGACCCGCCGCCGCCGGCTAAGCCCTGTTCTCCTGGCGATCGCGCTTTTATGGAGCATCTAATGGGCCCCTATCAACTCGAGAGATTACAGAAGCAATATGTAAGTGGTGCCATCTTCACGGCGCCATTCAAATTACTCGAAATTAATATACATTGAAATTCACTCGGTAATGAGCACATTTGCTCTGATTTAGGTACAGGTGCACCAAATACGAGTTTACGTGAAGAATTTATTTAAGAAGTACCTATATTTGAGTGAAAGTACTCAGTTTTAGTTTAAATATAATCAGAAATGCGTAAAATGATCAAAACGCCCAATATTGACTGAAAATGTACTCAATAATTTCACTCAGTGGATTCACTCCCAACCTTACAGTGTAGAAGAAGGTTATCTCAGTTTTCTAGAATACAATTTGTGGTTGCTCCAATATTTTCCCAGAATTTGAATAGATCGTTGCCAAAATTCACCATTTTCTTAGCCATCGCGTTCTTCTGATCTTAATCCTCGCGATTTTTGCCTTAAAGGCTTAGTTTATTCGATCTAGTAGATAATTCGGAAAACCTCTGTCCAGTCTTAAGAAGGAGGAAATAGTTTAAAATTAACAAAAATAACCATGCTATTTTTTGTATTATTCTGTATTAACTTTTTTAACTGTATTTTAATTTTGACTGTTGATTTTCTTTTATTATCTCCAATTTGTTTTTATTTCTTTTTGAGTATTACATACAATTTCTATTCGTATTTTATTTGTACATCGTCATTGCATCAGGTCAGGTGTGTCACAGGGACCTACGTTGGGTCCACTCTTATTTGTAATGTTTATTAACGACTTATGAATCTCAACGGAGTGCTTGCTGATGACCTAAAACTGTTTACCTACCGAAATTAAATTTGAAGCGGATTGTGATATTTTTGAGAAAACAGTAAACGTAACAAGTATTATCTGGTACTTAAAACCAAATAGCTTTCAAATCCAGAGAATGATATTTTTAGTATTCATTCAAGTTCCTAGGATGCCTTTGAAGGTGTCATTTTATTATGAAAATTAAATCCCATGTTCCAAAAAGCATGCCAATAATATCGAATATCGATCTCAGCTGACGTCAGCATCTGCTAAACCATTCGAGTACGGAAATATCGTACACCCGTTGTTATTTATATCACATTTTAACTTTGACAGATTTATTTGTTTTGATACGCGATACGGGTACAAAAAACAAATAGTTTAACACGCTCGTATCATAACACCGCCTGGAAAATGTAAACAAAGGTATTACGGTGTCCCAAAGCTAAACGAAACGTATTCGTCGTATTACAAGACATCACGCGGCAGGAATATGACCTTCTTGTCCGATGAAGGCTATGTAAAAAGTCTCCAAATGCATTATTAAGGCCAAAAAGGTCAACTGAAGTTCACGTCACTTGGACATAAAGTCATATAATTCGTCTAGGATGTACAATAAATTAGCTGGAAAAAGTATATCCACTTACGGTCGTCCAATGTGTGCAACATTAGACTTTCGTTAATTGCTTTTATTTTTTCGAACCGTCGACTGGCTGTTATTCCCGAGAAACTTGCGCGAGGAACCGAAGCCGATGCGCGGGTTCCATTTATTACCCGTCGGTCTTCTGTATGTAATTCGGTGTCGGAAATAGTTTGGTCATCGCGCCGCGAATGACAAATGGTCCAACTTGTCACTGTCGAAATTTAATGTAGTTTTTATGGCGGATCGATAAACGGACCTTTATATAACTTAATGTAGGTAGTTAAGCCCCACTGATAGATTTATATAATTGTTTGTATGGTAGCTTTTGTATTAATTATAGATAAGTTTTTTTCGTCGATATTCACATGTAAAATGTTTACATGTTTCTATCGGTGTGCCTAAAATTGTAGCTGCGCACGTTGTGTGCGCATCTAAAACTCGACATTGCGTACCGGCGCGTAATTTTACACGTTGGTGCGTAATTTTACAAAGCCCTGGACAAATTTACAGATCAGAATGTAATTTTATAGACTAGTGCGTAATTTTACAAACCACAGCGTAATTTTACAGACCAGTGCGTAATTTTACATACCAGTGCGTAATTTTACATAATAGTGCGTAATTTCACACGTTTGTACGTAATTTTACAAAACCCTGGACAATTTTACAGATCGGAGCGTAATTTTACATACTAGTGCGTAATTTTGCAAACCAGAGCGTAATTTTACAATGAAGAGTTTAATTTTGTACAAAATAGTGCTTAGTTTTACACATTTTATACACTACTGTGATACTATGTGAATTTAGATGTCATTTTGCTTTCCATATTGTCAAACTGACAATTATTCAAATAATTCAAGAGAGTTTTGGTTTTCGCCTACTAACACATCTTCACTATTTTAGCAATAACTTGAAAATGAAAAAAGGTATCGACCTTCTGTTTCTGTAATTGTTTTCCTTAATAAATGGTCTATCAAGCCATGAAAAAAAACTATATTTGCATTTAATTTTTTAGTAAACTGAGACAATGACAAAACTTTTTCTAATTAGCGTCATCTACTGTTGCGTAGGAAAATAATATTTTTATTCCCATATCATAAATATAAATTGTATTAATTGTTCTTTAAAATGAAACCTCATTTATTGAAATCGATTAAGGCAATTAGAAGTTATGACAATTTAAAAATTTCAAGATGGCGTCCTTCATATGGCGTTGCTATGGTAATAACAAAAAAAAAGTTCAAAGAAAACTTATGAAGGGTTTAACAGTGTATCTAAAAAGTGTATTTTCAACTTAGTTATATAAGCGAAATTTCATATCATACGGTTTTAATTATATTTTGTGGGTATTAAATTATATTTTTAACCATACAACACATCATAGTCTCTTCTAACAATGTTTTTTTCTTTTTTTTTTGCAGGCTGTTACCCGTCATAACGATTAGGTATGACCCTATTTCTTCAAAATATCAGTAAGTAAAAATTAGTATGGTTAACAAATCCCTTTTAATTGTAAATCATACTGTCGCTAAAGCTATTTTACTAACTGCTAGTAGATATTCACATTTAAGTTTTTTCAGAATCAATTAGGGCTGTGGATGTTTTGGAAAGAATATACCAAAAAATCCCTCACTTTTACAAGACATTGAACCGAGCATTGAACACTTTAGTTTCATTTTTTCTCAAAAATTAAAGTACAACGAGTTTAATGTAGCTTAATGACGATTTAAAATATTTCATTGGGGTATACTTGATCCACGACCTTAATTGTACTTCAACACTGTCTCACACACCTTGTATATTGTTAATATTCATGTTTTTACTTCTCAAATTTGTCAAATGTGACGGCTTACCTTTTCTTACCTGCTGGTTCACCAACAAAAGCGTTATGTCAATGTTTGTCGTTCTTGTCCTCATATTATACCCCAAGGTAGCAGAAATAGATCCTGTCCACAATAGGCAGGGACAAAGGACGTATTAATTCAATAGAAAAGTAAAACCTGGCCAGGCTTTGGATTTCTAAATTCCGTGGAAGTTTTTAAGTCGCTGAAGCCAGGAATAATATAGCAGATTAGAAATGGAATACGTTTTTGTGTTGGGAGGCGATTGTGTGTGAAGCGGAAATGAAAGTCTTTATTTTCTAAGGGGTAGGTTGTAACGTACAGGGTGTACAGGGTGTCACAAAGTTCGCGTCTCGAGACCATAACAGACAAATGAAAAACGACAGTGAAAATCTGTTTCTATGGCGTGAATAGGGACTCGCTAAAGTGCGTTTTGCACTTGAAAAACATTTTTTTCAAACCTCGGAAAATAAAAAAAAAACTACATCAACTTTTTTTTCCACGAACATACCCATTTTTTATGAAAACTAAAATTATCTATTTTTTTATGAACATTTTTTGTACAGAAATATTTTCTCTATCTCTTCTTAAAAAGTTACATTAACAAACATTATTCAAAAATGTATCCTATTATATTAGAACTAGTCAACTTAATCAACATTACTGTGAAAAACAATCGCTGTAACTCCTGTCAAAAATTTTTTTACATATTAATTGCTATGTTCTTAAAAAAGTCACTCCACGAAAAAAAAAACAATACACATAATGACTGTTAAATAGGATAACAAAATATAGAAAATATTAAACAATTTTAATTGTAACTAATAAATCTAACAATAACTAATAACAAAACACAAAACAAAATATAAAATTATGATTATTATTGAAAAAAAAAAAATTCGATATGCATGCCTCCTACTTCTAAGCATTTATCCAATGTTTTCCTAACATCCCTTGTAGCTTTAAACAACGTTTCTCTTGAAAGAATCTCACAAACATGTCGAATCTTTTATTTTAAATGCTTTAAACTTCTCGTGGGTGTCTTATATATTTGATTTTTTAATGTTCCCCATAAAATATAGTCTAGGGGCGTTAAGTCTGGAGAGTTTGAAGCTCATTCTACAGGCCCATTAATTCCAAGCTGTTTTACATTGACAATTGATTCATGAATAAATTGACGAAGTTCTTCATGAATTAATTCACGAATTTATTGGTAAACAGTGTGGTTTTACACTGCTACAGACTTTGTCAAGTTTTTTGACGTATGAATCAGTTCCACCAATGAATCAAAGAAGCGAATAAATTTCAAAAATGTCACCTTTCCACTCATAATTGTAGTGATACAACAGCGGTAACGTTCTGACACATATTATATAAATATTAGTTTTTGTAAGTAACAAGTCAGTAAAAACAATGCAAAACTAGTACGACGCCACACAATTATTTACATATTCCAATAACATAACCTCATTACTGATCTGAAGCTGGAAATCTGTTGGGTTGGTACTTCCGAACTTCACGAAGAAATTGACGAAAATTAGAATATGCTCTAATTCGTCAAGAACTTGCATGAATAAATTCATGCAAGTTATTTGACAGCAGATTTGGTGCATTACACTTGTCCAATTTCTTGATGAAGCGACTTCATGAATTAATTGATCAATAATTTGTCAATGATAAGTGTTTCAAGTTATTTAGTCTATAGCCATGGTAACCATTGGAGCTCAAAATTTCTAGGATTTTCCTCAAAATATTGTAATATTAGCTACGGTAATATCATTACACACTGATTTTGAAATTCCTTTCCCTTTCCTTGATGAAAATGTATTTTCTTTAGTACGCAAAATTCGTTCCAATCTGGCAAATATTTTTGGGTTAACAGCTTGACGCTCTGGATATCTCTCATGACATAAGTTAGCAGCTCTTCTGGGATTTTTTTGACATTCACCATAAATTAGAATCATGTCAACTGTTTCATTGTTTGTGAACATTTTTAATTTTTAGCAACCACTTACTAGTTTGTTTATCATGCAAGAAATATCGTTTGACAGAAACTAATATATAAACAGACTTGTGACTGCAGTTACAACCATTGTTTTCACAGAAATGTTGATTAAATCATGACTAATTCCAATGCAATAGGATACATTTTTGTATGTCTGTTATTGTAACATTTTAAGGAGAAGAGACAGAAAAATTTCTGCACAAAAAATGTTCATAAAAAATAAATAATTTTATTTATCATAAAAATGTTCGTGGGAAAAAAAGTTTATTAAGCATTTATTTAAACATTTTTTTTATTTTCCGAAATTCGAAAAAATGCTCAAATTTAAGATACACTGATATAAAGTTCTACAACCAAAATTACAAATTTGATGTAAAATTACACATAGAACACAATTTAGACGCAATGTAAAGTAAAATTAATGTAAATAATTTAATTCATAAAATATATAGATATTTTGATTATATACATTACTAGAAAAAATTGACGGAACAACACATTTTCATGAATTTTTTAGAGATTTTCGAAAGGATGTATCGAGATTAAAAAAACAAAGCTTTTTGAAGCTTTAAGTCTCTAGTTTCGAGATCTTTTAGACACAAATTTTTTTTGAGGTGCAGTTCGCGAGCAATCAAAAGAAATTGGCAGCCCTAAAAGTCCATAGACAGTCCTAAAAAAATAATTTGGAAAAATTTTTTGTCGATGTATTTCTTTTGATTGCTCGATAACCGTGGCTCAAAAAAAACATTTGTCTAAAGTTAAAGCTTTAAAACGTTTTTTTTTTTATCTTGATACGACTATTTTTCACTTTCGAAAATCACTAAAAAATTCAAGAAAATTATTTGTTCCTTTAATTTTTTCCGGTAGTACATAAAGATTAGGGTGGCCCAAAAAAAAACGAATACTTTTTTTTCTTGGCTCTTGTGAAAATATGTTGCTTTATACGTACTAAGCTCAAAAAAATTTATTTAGAAGTCGCTCAAGATTTTTAAATATTTCCAAAATCGTCAAAAATTGATTTTTTTTTAAAATTTTTCTCGTTATTTTATCATTCATTCTAGGTTGAAAAAAATCTCGATTCTGAAAATTTCAAAGTAGTGTACCTAAAATGTTTTCGAGCGACCTCTAAAAATAAACATCAACGAACTAATATATTTTTTTTTATTGAATTTGATAAACAAAATAATAAAAGTAAATCACGAGGCACTTAAATTTTAAAAAATTATAAATATTTGATACACACAGTGCGGTAGTAAATTTTGCCTCGAGAAAGTGTCTAGTGATTTATTTCTATTCTTTTGTTCATCAAATTCAATAAAAGAAATTATTAGTTCATTGATATTTATTTTTAGAGGTCGCTCGAAAACATTTTAGGTAGGTGCACTACTTTTAAAGTTAAAATAATTATGAGTGACCTTAATTAAAATATCGATTTGAAATTTTACGAATCTAAATTTTTATTCAACCTAGAAAATGATAAAATAGCGAGAAAAAAAATCTATTTTTGGCGATTTAGCGATTTTGGAAATTTTTAAAAATCTTGAGCGACTTAAAAAAATTTTTTTTGAACAGATTTTTTGAGGGAGCTCTTAAAACATGATAAATTAACATATTTTCACAAGAGACACAAAAAAATATTCGTTTTTTTTGGGCCACCCTAATAAGATATGATGATGATATTGTAATATCATAATGCAACAGAACGACCACATTGAAATAATTTGGCACGAATTTTTTTTACAGACGCGTAAAATAACTTTTATCTTAAACCTCCTATCGCGTGTTTAGCTGTAAGTCTTTTCCACATAAACTTAAAAGCCAACTCTATAAATTTTACGACCGTTTTATATGTGAATTTCATTATCGTCTCCCGTTTCTTTTTTCCTCCATTTTTCGCGAGTCCGACATTCCGAGCCGGCCAATCAAATGAAATTCCCGATAATTAATTAAAATAAATTATTATAATTGGAATCGTATTAGCTGCACCCTCGGTTGCAATGCGCAATAACGAATTCGATTAAGTCGGAACAGCGGGCGACACGCAACCCGTTTAGGATTACACACAAACGTAAAACTCGCCCAGTCCCTTAACGCTGGTTAATTAACGAGCCAGTTGCATCTCCTGATGATGGTTACTGTATTGGCGAAAACATTTGTTAACGTATTGGCGTTCAAAACTCCCAAAATCTCTTAAATGTTACCTTACACACATTTTCTTGTTCGGTAGTTGTCGTCTGATATCGTCTTCTTGCAACAGCATCGTTTTATCTTGACAAAAAATAGGCTCTAACTATATCAATTTTGTTTATATTAATTAATATTTAATAAATAATGTGAGATAAAATGTTTTCAAAAACAATATAACGTTTTTTTAATGTTCGGCGCTTCGTCCACATTGATATTAAAATAAATATGGTGACTTTAAAATAACACGTCGTTAACCCATACCAGAAAAAGCTTTACTAAATTATTTTTCATTTGATTTTAAAAGTAACAACTGGCAACGCTGATAGTGCACTAATACAACTTACCATGCTAATTCCTGGTTAATTGATTAAAAAAAAGGCATGTTGGTATTCTTCCTTCTATAAAACTGACC